ATGACACGGGTGCACTTACATGCATGCAGGCAATACACTTATACACATAAAATAAAAATAATAAATAAAATATAAAATATAAAAAAATTATTTTATAAGTGTTTTACCTGCTTGTAAGTGCACCCATGCACGCAATACCTGCAGAGGCCAGAAGAGAGCACCAAATCCCCTGGAACTGGAGTTGCAGATGGTTGTTAGCCACCATGTAGGTACTGAGAAGTGAACCCAGGTCCTCTGCAAGAGCAGCCAGTGCTTTTAACCACTGAGCCATCTCTCCAGTCCCTTTCTTACTTTTTACTCTTTGTTCTTTCCTTAGTTAAGGCCTAATGAAAAGGGACTCTTTCTGTGCTTCATCAAGCCATGTATATATACCTGCAAAAATATTTTACTTCTATGCTAGCTAGGACTCTGCATCTTTTTTTTTTTATTTGGTCTTTTTGAAACAGAGTCTCCCTGTAGCCCCTCCTGGCCTGGAACTCACTATGTAGACCAGGCTGGCCTTAAACTCATAGAGATCCACCTGCTTCTGCCTCTGAAGTGCTAGGACTACAGGCATGTGCCACCACACCCAGCGACTCTGCATGTTTTTATCCTGTCCCTGGGATCCCTGGTTATGGCAACACACAGTTGCTTGGATTGTTAAGGACTCATACCTCCTTCCCACCATGCACCGGGAAGGTTCTGTGTCACTTTGATATCAGTATCCCCCCTCTCCTCACTGACACTTATTGCTAAAGAGAATAGTTTGGTTTTGAGCTGTCTGAAAGAACAGGAGAGTCTTTAGCATGTAAGGAAAAGGGAACACCTCTGGGGATGCACAAACCTTACCTCCTGCCATGTATGGAGGAGGGTAATGTTGGTCTTGTTCAAGAAATCCACATCAGCAGTTGACAAGTATTCTATTATCATTTGACCATCAGCTGTAAATCCCAGGTATTCCTGAATCGTGTATTTTTCCCATCAGGGGCCAGGCTTTGTGTAGTTCAAGGAGTCAGACTGTCACATCCTCAGATGAATTTCTCCTGTCCTTCCTTCTGTAGCAAAATAATACATTCTAATTCAGTAGCTGCCATTTCTTGAGAAACTACAAGGATTACCCTTGTGCTAATTTCATATACATGGCACATCTACTAACAGCAGGCTTTATTTTGGATTTATAAGCCTTTCATTTCCTTGTGTGATATATGTGGCAAGTACCATCGCATGACAGGGTGCTTTGAACACATGAGACATAGAAGGAATTCAGGCTTTGGAATCAGTTACCTCTAGTTGCCCAGATAACTGGCTCCATGACCCCAGGAGAGTTTCTGAAGTGTTCAGCCTGTTTCCAATTAGAGATATGTGCTCACAGTAATGTCTGTCTTACAGGGTTGTGTGAGGATTAAAAGGACTGATGTATGCCAGGGGTGGTGGTACATGCCTTTGATCCCAGCATTTGGGAGGCAGAGGCAGGTGGATCTTTGTGAGTTCAAGGCCAGCCTGGTCTATATAATGAGTTCTGGGCCACCTAGGGCTACAGGGAGACCCTGTCTCAAAAAGACCAAAAAAAAAAAAAATTGATGTGTTTAAAGGGCTTGATGGGGCATGGAAAAAAAAAAAAAAAAAGAACTCTTTAAAAACTCAGTGGTAATTACTTCTTAAATTTTTATTGCTTTTATGCAATGACCAGGAGGAGGAAGAAGACATAACAGAAACCGAGAAGTGGGCTCCAAAACGGTCAGAGAGGAGGGAGTCGTGAAGGAAGTGTGTCATAGAAACCCAGAGAAAAGATGCCAGGAAGGAGGGAGGTGATGCAAAAGGCCAGCTGCTTCTGACAAGACAAAAGCCCATTCTTGTCTCATAGCGACAGTGAGTGGAAACAGAAGGAAGAAAGTCCATGGCTTGAAATGCCTTATGACCTCATACCTCAAATGCCTTGATGACCTTTTTTCAGCTCATCCCAATAATCTGATATAAATACCCAGGTGTCCAATCAGAGAAAATTCATTTTTCTTACATAAAGAAAAAGATGATGTCTCATAAAATGAACTAGAAAAGAAATGGCAGGTGTCATCAGGTTAATGAATTAACAGTTTTGACAATTTTGAATGTGCACAACAGAGGCTAGGGAGAGGGAAGAGAAAGGGTTGTCAGATCCCACAAGAGATTTCCCAAGCAGTGCTCTATAATGAATAACCCAGTAACTCCAGTGAGAAGGAGGGTCGTGGGACAGAACCGATTTATTTTTCTTTTCATGTTTTTACTCTGCCTGAGGCCAGAAAGCAATAATAGAAGCATAATCTATATCTTTGGGCAAACCATTCAACAAGTATTTATAAACTAGAAAAAAAATCCATCAGCCAAAGGGAACTGGTTTTAAAACTGCAGTAGACATTGGGGACAGATATTCAGCAAGGGTAGATGTGAGGTCTAATCTTCATTGTCAACTTGTCTGGATTTAGAATCACCATGGCAACGCATCTCTGGGGATGTCTGTGATTGTGATTTGACTGAAGAGGGAAGACCCATCCTGAATGTGGGTGGCAACATCCCATGAGCTGGAGTCCCAGACTGAATAAAAAGCAGAAAGTGAGAGGAGTGTCAGCAGTCATTTCTCCCTGCTTTCTGAACATGGGTGCAATGTGACCGACCTACTCATGCCTCGCTGCTATGCCTTCTCCATGATGGACTGTGCTATGAATCTGAGAGTTCCTTTTGTCGGGTATTTTGACACAGCACGGAGGAAAGTAACTAATACAGCAGATTTACAGAGGGGTGGGTAGAAATTAAGAGTTAAAACCTGGGGCTGGAGAGATGGCTCAGCAGTTAAGAACACTAACTGTTCTTGCTGAAGACCCGGGTTCGAATCCCAACACCCACATGGCAGCTAACAACTGTCTAACAACTCTAGTTCCTGGGGATCCAGCAGCCTCTTCTGTCATCCTCGGGCACTGCACGACACAGGTGCACTTACCTACATGCATGCAGTACACACATACACATAAAATAAAAATAAAATGCTTTTTTAAAAGTTAAAACCTGTGTGAACTGGGGGACATTGGAAGCGCCTGTGGCTTTAGGGGCCTGAACAGAGCTAAAATGCTCCTTCCTGGGAGTGCAGGAGGTGTCCCCTCTGGCTCCAGACAGATTGTAGTGGCTGCCACTAATACAGAAGTACCCTGAAGGGTTGCAAGGACTGGTCCTCTGGAGTCTTTGTTCCTGACTGAGTTCTAAAACAAAGAGCCAGAGGCAACTATTCCTTCTAGTTTCCTTCTGGTCATGAGGGTTAAGAGGCCTAGGCTTTAAAAAAAAGCTCCTGAGGGCAGGAATGGTAGAGGTTGTAAAGACAGATTGCGGGATCCTGAATGAAGCAAGAGCAAGAAGTAAGGAGGGACTGATGGGGTGATTTTGGAAAATGGAAGCACTTCAAGCCAGGTTCTGGGTGTGGCAGTTCGGGAAAGGCTTCTTGTAGCCCTAGGATCCTATTGCTCCGTCCAGGACTCAGCCTTGGCCTCTTGTCCTTTCTGAGTGGACCATCAAGTGCTAACATAACTAGAACTCCAATACCTGCCTTGGAGATCCCCAATCTGTGCCATTCTTGGTGCAACACAGCCCAAGGCTGTGCATGAAACTCTAGGTCTGTGATTCCTGCCAGGCCTCCTGTCCCTGTCAGCCTCCATGGGAGTCCCTTGGTTGGTCTGCCCTCATCCCTGTCCCCTGAGCCACACAGCTCTGTGCGTCTCCCCTGACACACCACCTCCCACTGCTGCATACTCTTGTCCTCTCAGTTCTGTGGAGCCCCCAGTTTCTGCATGACAAACTCTCTCAGGCCCTCTGATGTACACATCCATTCCACTCTCCGCACAGTGCCTCACACACAATCATCCTGTGCTACACCCTCAACCCTGTTCTGCTCACAAAAATAGGAATGTATGCACCTTCAGAGAGCATAGGTACTCTCAGGGTCTAAAGTTGCATAATCTTCTTCCAACAGTCTTCAATTTGAAACAGGGAGATGGGATAGGGTGGGCTTCTGAGAGGCAGTTTCCTGGGAAGGTCCCTCTTTCTTTTCCCCATGAGTGTTGTCTACTCTGCTAAAATGGTGTGTAGGTGGCTTCAACTTACTGAGTCCCTGTGTTCCTTCATGTGCCCAGACAAGTAGATTGGTGTTCATTCCCTCTATGTGGAGGGATTGGAATAGGTGTGACCATGGGTTGCATTGGGGTTTAGAGTCCTTGGGCTGTAGTTTACAGGATGAGCACTGCCAGGAGGAAAGTCTGCAGCTGGTGAGCTAAGAACAGCTGCTCTCTCCTTTCCATCATCAGAGAGGCAGCAGAGGGTGAAGTCAGCCCACAGAAGAGACCAGGATGCCCAGAAGCAACAGCAGAAATTTAAAGAGTCTACCCCAAGGAGTAAATGTCCCCTCCCAAATGAGCAGGAATTGAACCCTTGGAATTCCCATGCTGGACTACGACCTCAGCACTGGACTGCCCCTCCAGCAGACTGCTCTGGAACATTAGAAAAGAAAGCAATGGGGTATTATCAATCATTATAAGCCATAATTTAGCTTTATAGTGCAGGGGACAAGATAGTTGTGACAGAGGGACCCTTTGCTTTGGGGGGTTATTTCAGCCTATTCTTTGTTTCTTTTTTGGTGGTGTTGGAGGGTGAACCTAGAGCCTCACACATGCTGGACAAGTGCTCTGTTACTGAGATGCAGCCCCAATCCTTTTATTTTTGAGACAGGGTCTCAGTAATTTTTGCAGACTGGTCTTGAACTCATTCTGTAGCTCAAACAGACTTTGAACTCAAGATTTTCCTGCCTCAGTCTCGAAAGCAGTTAGGATTAAAGACCTGCATCATCAGGCCTGGCTTCCCCCACTCCCATGTGCAAATCAAGGTTGATTTCAAAAAAATCCCACTTCAGAGTATAATCTACCTTCTTATAGCTTCTCACTATACTTTCTGAGTCTTTTTTTTCCTTTATTTCTTCCTAAAATAACGCTACAGAGACATTAAAGTAGATCCTGATACATATGTATTTATTTACTGACAAAGAAGGCCACAACATACTTTTTTGGTGAAAAATACAGCATATAGAACAACACAGTTTTATCACTTTTACCTATACATGTATCATCTATCTGGGGACACAGATATAGAGAAATATTAAAGAATATTCACCAAAGGGCTGAGGACTGACAATTGATACACAGGGTGGAGTGTTCAGGGTAATTTGTACTTCTTTTTTTGTAATTTTCTTTATTACTAGACAGTTGAACAGTAACACTTTCACAAAGAGAATAAAGCCATCAAGGAAATAGGTCCACACAGAAAATAAACTCAGGCCATTTCTCTCCACTGTGCTGGTTGGTATGCAAGACCCCTTCCTCACCCCAAAAGAAAGCTGCTTTGTGGAGTCATTCATGCACTTAGAAGTCTGTCTCCCCAATTTTCCCATCATTGAACCCTGACTACTGATAAGGGTTCACTTAAGGCCAGGCGCTAGCGTCTTAATGTAGCTCAGAGGGGTCATAGGGTTCTCCAGTGGCCTCATTTGACCCCTCCTCCCCCGGATGTGTCAGCTCCTGCAGGGTAATAATCAGATTCTCAAAAACCTGGGCTTTGTTATTCTCAGTGTCACAGGTTTCTTTTGAGTGGCCCTCCTCACCACAATGGGCACAGCGGATTGTGTGTTTTCGCTTCCTGGTCCTACGTAGACCCCCAGGGTTACTGTCCTTACGCCCAGAACCACCGCTGGTGGAAGGAGACTGAACATCAGAAATGCTGGGGGGCTCAATGACCAGTACTTGGTCTCGAGATGTGGCCCTGCCTAGGAAGACAGGGGCACTTGAGGATGACAGTGGAGGGTCCTCAGACTCCACCAGGATCACATCCTCATCTGAGTCATCAGGAGAGTCATCTATCTCTATCACATTGCAGTCAGCACTGCTGAGCACTACTGGGGAGCTGTGAAATGTCATAGGACTGAGTGCCCTCTCCATTATTGATTCAGATCTTCTGAACTGCTTCCTTCTAATAAAACTGTCATCCCAATCCTCTTCCTCCCTTATCATCCTGATTAACTCCAGAAAATCAGGAAGGCGTTCCTGCTCATTTGCATACATCCTGAGAAGACTCTTAAGCCTGTAGCGCAGGTCTCTATTTAGCTCAGCCCCTACAAGGAGCTGGTGCAGGCGAGTCCTATTAGCCTCTTTCTCAGCAAGGACCCCTGCCTGAATAGCATTCCGCAGCTGCACCTCTAAACGAATCACATACAGCCACGGTTTCTCTCCCGGTGCCTGCACAGTGTTAAAAAATTTACCATGGGCAGTCACACTGCTCTCAGACTCCCCAAAGACCAGTTTCATCGCCCGCAAAAAATCTGCGACATTTAGGCTGGGATTGGCAGCTTGGAGCAAGCGCATAACCTCCAGGGCAGGGCCCCTAAGGGTTTTCATTAGGCGCTTGAGCTTTTCCTCCTCAGACATATGCCAATCTGGCAGGACCCCATTGACCTGGATCAGCCAGTTTTCAAAGGTTTCTTCGCCCTGAGCTGGCACCGCCCTCCCAGAGAACACCCTCATGTTTCTCTCTGCCAGGTTGGCCATTAAAGGACCAAGACTTCTCCCCAGGGACCTCAGCAGGGAATGGGCCCAAGGTGGCAAAGCTGCATTCTGCCCCCGGCTGTTAGCCATACGTGCAAGGATGCTAGCCATGACTGACAGGCTAGGCTATCTTAATACAAGATGCTCAGGGTGTTTTAGAAGAAACTTGTAATCTTCAGTCGTGCAGCGGGCTCAGATCTCAGTGGGGGCTGCAAAAAGAGAGATAAAAGAAAAAAGAAACGGGGGGGGGATAGTTAATAAGGGAGCAGGCTGCAGCTGTAATTCTTACCTCAATAGCGCACATTACATTTTGTATCTGTCCACTGTCCTAAAAATATCCTGCAGGAGACGCAATTACTGCCTCCTGGAGCTAGCTGGTGTCCCTGTACCAACAGGCTGTTTATTCCAGCCACGTCCTCCGTACCCTCCCACCAGTCCTCCAAGAGGGAGGGCAACTGTTGCTTCGAATTCTAGATTTATCAGTGCGTAGAACTGATTTCGGACTCTCAAATCACAGTGGTCACAGATTCACGGAAATTGAAAAAAAAGACCTCATTACTTAATGATCTCTGGTCTCAACCACACACCCCTCGTCAAAGCTTCCCTGCCCCCATGACTCCCTGATTTCTCTGTCTTACACTAGCTGGGAAGTGGAGTGCGTCTTTATTTCCAGTCTCTGCAACCTGTATCCTCCAGTGAGAAAGCTCGTCTCCAGGGTAAGGTAGGCCTCCGTCCACCCGGTCGCGGATCCTGGCGCTCAGAATATCAAGACTGCGCCACAGCCATAGCGAGGAGGGAAGGGAAGGGTCAGAACCAGCCTTAATCGTCATCCTGATCCTCCGCCCCCCACCCCCCTCCCGTTGGGCTGTCACCAGGCGGAAAATTCCCTCTCCCACCTTCTGAATACAATCCAAGACACCAAGACGACCCCCCCTTCCCAGCCCATTGTACCTCGAGACACCGTCGGCCTACCCAGCTCTATGATCAGCTTCACCGAATTCAAGTTCAGATTCCTCTTCGATGGGCTGCTACAGAGAAAGAGAATAGGAGCTGGACACACCCACCCCCATAGTGTCTAGAAAAATTAAGAGGAAGTGCAAAGGGGGTTTAAGGCAAACACCATTCCTTCTCCCTCGTCCCGCATGTGGCTTCTTCCCCTGTCCCTTCCCTGCCCAGGCAAATCTTACCAAATGGCAGCTTCCAGGTGAACCCCAACGCAGCCAGGCCATGCGAGAGCTCCTTCGCCAGCCTAGCAATTGCTGACTCTCCCAGACACGAATCGCCTACTACCGGTGGGCTTTTCCCTATTTTCTCCTATCCGCACCAGGGAATCGCTCGCCCCCCGCCTTTTTTTTTTTTTTTTTTTTTTTCTCTTTTTTCCATTATGGCCCCCCGCTCTTTTTGTTTTTTCAGCAGT